AAAAAAAAAAAAAAAAAAAAAAAAAAAAAAAAAAAAAAAAAAAAAAAAAAACTGCAAAATGAATGTGGAAGAATTCCGTAAATATGGCAAGGAAGTGATCGATTATATATGCGAATATGGCAGCAAAATTGAGGAGCGCGATGTGGCGCCCACACTGGATCCTGGATATTTGAAAAAACTGTTGCCAGGTACGAAATAAGCCGCACATAAATAACCTCGTTAAGCTGGTCTATTTACAAACAATTTATAAATAATGCGCGTATAAATTTGCTGTAGCAATTATAAATATATTTCTCTTTACTCAATGGAATGCAAAATTCATTCAAAAATAAGAAAATAAGTATGAAATATGCCTGCGCTATTTTGATGCAATGTAGAGAACATACATATTTTGTTTATAAACTATAAAAATATTGCCAGTCAGAGCTGGTTGAGAGATCGCGCATGTAAACAACAATTAGTTAAAGGCTTCTAAGCAAATTAGCAAAACGAAAAATAAATTTCGCTTCACACAAAATATAAAAAAAAAAAAGAAATTGAAAGAAAAAACAAAACAAATCTTCAACAACAATAAATACAATAAAAAAACCTGCACTCGACAGACACTTGAGAAACTTGTGGATTTCATGTTGACTAATTGCGAGCAAACAATGCGAATTGACTTATAGCTCTCTAGAAGCCCACATGGTAACCGTGAATCCATGAAAAAAAAAAACAAACTGCGTTTTTTTTTTACTAAAAACTGTAGCGTGGGCCCAATGTGGGGCATCAGGCAGTTGGGTCATAAGATTTTTGGTGTTTTTTCTGGCGAATTTCGAGCGAATTGCGCACAGTTAGTTAAGCTAAATATTTACGTTTTGATGAACACCGCAACAAAACAAATCAATTAATTAGGCGCGCACACACAGGTGGAGGAGTAGATAAAGATATGTGCTGGAATGATGCTGATCTTTGCCGCACGCTGCCAAAAATAACAAAATGTATAGGCAACAGCTTTATAGGTGCTAAAAGATGTACATAGATAAACTACACATATAACATCTATATATATATATACTATATTTAGTATAGATTCAAAGCCAAACTGTTTCCAGGGCCAACTAACAAGCTGTCTTGATTTGTTTACATTGCAGCTGACGCGCCCCAATCACCAGAATCGTTTAAAGATGTGCTCGAGGACTTTGAGCAGAAGATAATGCCAGGTATCGTGCACTGGAATCATCCGAAATTCTTTGCCTACTTTCCATCGGGCAACAGTTTCCCATCGGTGCTGGGCGATTTGCTGGGCAGCGCCATTGGCTCCATTGGCTTCAGCTGGGCCAGTTGCCCGGCTGCCGCGGAACTGGAGACAATTGTGATGAACTGGTATGCCAAGGCATTGGGTCTGCCCAAGGCATTCATATCAGACGCACCGGGCAGCGCTGGTGGCGGCGCCCTGCAGGGCTCAGCTTCGGATTGTGTGCTCGTGTCCCTCATTACGGCACGTGCGAGGGCCATCAAAGAGCTGAAGGGCAATACGGACGTGCATGACAGCGTCTTTCTGCCCAGCCTGATTGCGTATGCCAGTCGCGAAGCGCACTCCTGCGTGGAGAAAGCCACCAAAATGGCGCTGGTGAAGCTGCGCATTATCGATGCCGATGAACATGGTCGCATGCGCGTGGATCTACTCCAGCAGACCATACAGAATGATGTGAATGCAGGATTGACGCCCTTCTTTGTGGTCGCCACGGTGGGCACCACCGGTGGCTGTGCCTTCGATGATATTTCCGAGATCGGCAAGGTGTGCCGACAGGTGCCCAGCATTTGGCTGCATGTGGATGGCGCCTATGCAGGCAACTCTTTCATACTGCCAGAGATGCGTGTTTTCTCCGCTGGCTTGGAGTACGCCGACTCATTCAATACAAATCCCAACAAGTTGCTTCTGACTAACTTCGATGCCTCTGCTCTGTGGGTGCGGGATGTGATGTCATTGAAGAAAGCGCTCACTGTGGATCCTTTATACTTAATACACGAGCACAAAGATGGCGTGGACTACAGACACTATGGCATTCCACTGAGTCGTCGTTTTCGTGCGCTCAAATTGTGGTTCGTCTTTCGCACATATGGCGTGAAGGGACTGCAGGAGTACATACGCAATCACATGGTCTTGGCCAAGAAATTCGAGATGCTGGTGCGCAGGGACGAACGCTTCGAGGTGCGCAACGATGTGCACCTGGGTCTTGTGTGCTTCCGCATGCGGTAGGTTTAAAAATGGAGTAAAACTAATATCTCTCCTATATTACAATATTCTCTTCTTCCTCCCCACAGCACCGGCGATGAGCCCAATCATCAGCTCCTGGCACAGATCAATCATTCAGGCAGGATGCACATGACACCGGCTAAATTCAATGGACGCTATGTGATACGCTTCTGCGTGACGTATGAACATGCCACGGAGAAGGATATAATAGATGCCTGGACACAGATCAAAGGCTTTGCGGAGGAAATATTGCGCGATGTTCAGCTGGAGATCAGCTCAGCGCCGGCCACACCGGAAGCAGAACGCACCAGCTCAGAGCCTGTGGGGCCTGTTTCCGGCAAGCCTCCCATCAAAAAGAAGCTCACGCGAACCAAGTCATTGCGTTTCTCGTTTACGCGCAGCATATCGCGGGAACAGTTCCAGAGTCAAAGCGAGCATCTTATGGATGGATGTACACCCATTTTGGTGGTTGATCCCAAAACGATACAGGAAAACTTTCAACAGGCGACAGAGGATAATCAAAATAATAATACAAAGCTTAAGGATATCTCGGACGTGGACACAGATGAGGCGAGCAATTGAGGAAAAGATGTGCAAATATGTAGATAGTGTGGAGACCCGTACCACGAGAGCTTTCTGTGGAGGACGATCCACACACAGAAAGCTCCGCGGCACAAGCCACGGAATGAGCTTTCGTATGTGAGCTTTATTATTGTTGTTACTTTTGTTCCTTTTACTACTTCTATTCTTCTTGCCAGCGACCGTGGCTGATCATTGTAAACGACGCGTGAATAATTAAATATTATTTTCCAAATTAACTAACCGGTAACTGTGTTTACTTAAACCCGGGCAAACACGGGTTAATACAGATAGTATTAGTTGTGTTTTTATTGAAGTTTATCAACGAGCTGCAATGAGGCCTGCACCTAGAATCGAACGATTTGAATTTGCTCAATTTGAATTTAAGTACATATTTATATAGTTTTTAAGCCGCGCTTCTACTTTTCATTTAATTTATTGTCGGGTTCCTACATGTCAATATTATATAGTTAAAACTGTCATGAACAAGAAAACAAAACAATACAAAAACACTTATTTATAAACATAAACATTTACTTAGCATTTAATATGCGCATTTATTTTATTATAAATATATATGTAATTAACTTCCAAGAAGTTGTTTCTCTTTACAAATTACAAATCTCGTAGGCGCACTTTGAGCGAAGCTTTTAGAGCTTTCAATTCGTTACTTTAGTGGAAGGGAGACAGCATCAATCGTGCACCCTTGATTGATCGTGTCAATTGTTTGCATGCAATTTGACTTGAGTGCTTGAATTTGCATAACAAACATCAATAATTATATGTCAATATTAAAAAGACAAATCAACTATTATAATTACCCCATCCAAGAAAATAAGACAGTATAAAAGGCAACGGTAAAACAAAAACATTGTCAGCGCGCTCACCCTTTATGATAATGCCTTTCCCGCTTTCTGTCTGTTTATCCGGTCTCAAACAGATGTTGGTTTTTAGCTTCAAATCACTTCGAAATGTTTATCACTTGCATACAATTTATATATAATAAATTCACAAATCTTTCACAATAACAAAACAAACGAAGCCACATGTGCGAGCGGACAGCTGAACGATTAATACGAATGCCGACTGGCGCAAACTATCGATAACAGAGGTAGTACTGCTCTATCGCACTAGCCAATTATTGTAATTTCATCGCTGCAAAAACGTAAACAAACCAGAACCGGCGCCTTTTATTGTTGAACGTTTGCATTTATTAGTAATATTTTTTTATTAAACATGCCCAACTGGAATCAAATACAATCACAACTGCGCAGCTCAAACAATCCCGTGGTGTTCTTTGATATAGCTGTGGGCACAACGGTAAGTCAATCATTTTGAAAGTAATAATTTCATTAAAAATTAATCACTTGCGATTGGCAGGAAATTGGACGCATGATATTTGAGCTATTTGCGGACACTGTGCCGCGCACAGCCGAAAACTTTCGACAATTCTGCACGGGCGAATATCGGCCGGACGGTGTGCCCATTGGGTACAAAGGGGCCAGCTTTCACAGAGTCATCAAGGATTTCATGATACAAGGCGGAGATTTTGTCCAAGGTGATGGCACTGGTGTGACCAGTATCTATGGGAATACATTTGCCGATGAGAATTTTACGTTAAAACACGATTCACCTGGGCTTTTGGCGATGGCCAATAGCGGCCGCGACACCAATGGCTGTCAATTCTTCATCACCTGTGCCAGATGTAATTTCTTGGATGGCAAACATGTGGTCTTTGGACGAGTGTTAGATGGTCTCTTGATTATGCGAAAAATTGAGAATGTACCAACGGGACCTAATAATAAGCCAAAACTCCCGGTTATTATATCGCAATGTGGACAAATGTAGCGTGTGTTGTGTGTGTTTGTATAATACATTTACAATACAGTACAAGACGAGTATAACGACCATTTATCTACTACTAAATCTAAATGTCTAAATGTCCTTGTTAAAGTAGGGATAGGATTGTACCATTTCTTTCTCTTTGCGTAGAGTCTGACAATCCTCAATTAGAAAGCTGCAAATTTCAATAGAGATTAGTTGATTCATAATACATTTTTTTTATATATGTATGTATATACTCACTCGTAGTACAATGGCACTATGGGAACTGTAGCTAAGTGCCATAGCGAGTGTGCATCGAGTATCCAAAAGATAGGCGGAAAATCCAACAGCTCCAGGCTCATGGCCATAGCGAATAACACGTAAAACCGTAAAAGACGTCTGAAGTACGGCCTTCGAGTGCGCACACGTTGACACCAGATAAACCAGCCCACAGCCGTGACCACGCCCGTCGCAACATTTACCTTCATATTGAAAGAGTAATTGAATTTGCCCGAGCTCAGATAGGCAAAGTAATTGATGTAGTATGAGACGCAAGCCAAGGTAATGACGCCCCTTAAGAATAGTGAATACCGATGCAGCATACGCATTAGCATGCAGTAAAAGGAACAGACAACAATTGAGTAAGCGAAGGCATAGTCCAGCAGCTCGGTTACGGGAAAGTCTCTAGTATGGAATATAGCAGACCAAATCCAGCCATTAAGACAGACCTAAGAGTAGACTAAATTCAATAAAGGACATATTAAATTCATAAATCACTTACTAGAGCAAAGATATGGGCGAGCATATAGCATGGACTATCTGGGCGCACGTGCCACCTGAATTTACGCAACATACGAAAATGCATGATAAAATTTAGAACAGAGAATAAAACTGATGCCGGCTCCTGCATGCCAAATAGTCTTATAAAGGGCCATTTGCCATAGAACTGAGGTATGGGCCAGCCTCGCTCCATGAAAGCATAAACCGTGCGCCACATGCAGCCATAGGAGCATTCGTCCGTGCAGCGCCATCCAAAGAGCCGATCAAATATCGTTTGGCCATAAAAGCTAACCGCTTGCTCCTGTATCTCTAAGCCATCTGTAAAGCATGCCTTTGTATTATAGCCTACATAGTATATATAAATATTTATTACACATACCGGCTGAGCAATTTGTTCGTTCGCAGTTTTGCCGACAATTATGAAAGAATTGTGTGCGATCCCCATGGGAAGCGAAGGCCAGCAGCGTTGCGCTTTTTATCAACAGCAACAGGAACAGCAACTGCCATATTGCACTCAATTTAAAATTAACTTTGAGCATTATGCTTTGCCTCCCAAAATATTTAGTTCAACATTTTTGTAAACAAATCACGCCGCTATTGATTTATCTCTGATTAGGGATGCCAGTCAACATACAGTCGATATTCCCATATTTTTCACTCCATCTTAACAAATAAAAGAATGGTACGCATATTAAATTATTTTAATTGACGACTTTCAATCGGCTGCATGCATTTTTTTGTGATTTTCAAAATTTTTTCATTTTTTGTTTACAAAGAGAAGCAACCCGTTTGACAGTGTGGCAACCCTTGTCAGCTGTCAAAACAGCCAACTAAACATATATCAGCGTTTATACCTCCGTATTTATTGCGATATAGTAGCATGATATGGAGATGGGGCAAACATCTGTTTCATCAAAATATATTATTTTTCAAAATAAGTTAGCCAAACAGGTTGTTTATCTATGGTCGATTCCCGTCACTTACTAGAAGCATAATAATTGATTTAAATGTGCCTTTAATCAAAATAGAAGTTGATTTATTTTTGACATACCGATGAATATTCTGTTCTTGATTTATCGTATAAACTTTGAGTATCTCTCTTCCTCGCCTTCATTGCAGTTGTGTTTGTGTTTGCTTTTGCAGTTGATAGTGTGGGTAGTGCTTGAGTGCGATGAAAAAGTCATAAATAAATAGAAAATAATTTAAAATTATCTAAAAAACCAGCTGTATGAATTAATATTGTTGTGCTGTGCCAGCTTTCGCAAATCACAAAATATGTGTTCAAGCGAAATCGAAAATCACTGCAATTGCAGGTGCAATTGACGCGCGTGCAGTGCCAGTATTTATAGAGACCTGCCATTGCACCATCATGTTAAATAGCACCCAATCAATGCATCAGTTACCTGTGCAAATACAACGTTGTCGCATTTAAGTGTGTTTGTGTGTGTGAGTGTGTGTAATATACATATGTATATATTTAGAATATGACGTTAGAGCGCACTGCATAAATTAGCACTGAAAAGCTCCTTCGCTCGCGCAAAGTGTGACCAGGCTACAAATTTGCATGTCCGAGTATCTGTCAGTGGACGCCAGTGGCAGAGCCAGCTCCAGCAATGTCCACAAATTGAGTGGACAGCCAACGCCGCCGTCGTCGACGTCGACGCTGCTGCTGCAGCAGCGGGAAACTGCGCTGCGTAAGCCACACAATTTAAAGGTAAGCAAAACAAATTTAACCTATTGAAGTACATAGTTAATAGATAATTTAATTGCAGCGTGAGCCACTGGTATTCTTCATTATGCGTCTGAATCTGAAAGCTGTGTTGCTGCTGCTCACGGTAGCTGTAATGGTCATCACATTGGGCATTTATATGCGCTGTGCAGCGTTCAGTTTCTCGCCGGATTTCGTGCGTCAGCTGAGTCGACGGCAGACCTACGACACGCTGGCCAGCTCAGCTGCAGGGCAGGACTTGCAGTCCAGCCCCTTGCAAGACATTGAATGCGCCATCAATCAGGAATATAGCATACACTGCAAACGGGACGAGAATGCCAACGAGGTGTATGTGCCCTTCTCGTTTCTGCGGCAGTATTTCGATGTCAGTGGAGCTGTCACCACAGGAGGTAGCAGTGGCAGCGAAGCACCCAAATTCAATTGGATGCACAGCAATGCAAAGGTGAATTTGCCCAAGGGCAAATACGATCCTCGTGGCGTCTTCATGTACTTCGAGAACTACAATGTGGAGGTGCGGGATCGCGTGAAGTGCATCAGTGCCGCCGAGGGCGTGCCAGTGAGTACACAATGGGAGAAACGTGGCTACTTCTATCCCACACAGATTGCACAATTTGCGCTGGCGCATTACAGCAAAAATCTAACGGAACAAACGCCACGCATCCACATACTGGAAGATGCCGATAGCAATCAGATGGACTGGAACACGCCGAAGACGAGCAACATGACACGCATTTGGCATCACAAATTCAACACGAGCATTGTCCAATTCGAGACAACGATTGGCTATGAGAGCGCCATTAGTATACAGCTGAATCAGACGCAGGATCTGGTTTTGAGTGTAGATCTGCTGCTGGTCACGAATAGCAGCAGCCTGATGGTGACCGTCCTGAACCGGGATACGAAGCACAGTTACAATTTGCATTACCTGGCTGCAGAGCTGTTACTCAGCGTGCAGGAGTCCAATATTTATTATGGCCTGGGCGCTGGTTCCCTGAACAAATGGCGTCACATTACCAGGGATTTGCACATTGATCTACAGAAGGGCATTGTCATGGGCGACAAGCGTTCCCCATTGAAGGTGCGTCGCAGCGACTTGGAGGTGCTATCCATTGCCTTTTTGGGCATTGGCTTCTACGATAATATTACGCTCTCGACGAGCGATCATTTGGCCCATTTCTATGATGCAGCCGAATGGTTTGTGCACAATCAGGATATGAAAACTGGCGGCTGGACGAATCCAGTGCGTCGCAGTTTGAATGGTTTTGCGGAGCTGCGTCCCGGCTGGATATCGGCCATGGGCCAAGGGCATGCCATTTCAGTGCTGGCACGTGCCTATTGGCATTCTGGAGGAGATATGCGATATTTGAAGGCGGCTTCTTTGGGACTGCAGCCGTATCGCATCTACTCGCGGGACGGCGGTGTCCTGGCTCAGTTTATGGAGAAATACTATTGGTGAGTGTGTATGAATAAACTGTGAGCTATTTTAACCCTTTGCCATTTACCAGGTACGAGGAGTATCCCACAACGCCGGCATCGTATGTGCTCAACGGTTTCATATACTCACTGCTCGGCTTGTACGATCTGAACAGCACAGCGCCTGGAAAGATAGCACGCGAGGCGGGCAAATTGTTTGCCCAGGGCATGCATTCACTGAAGAAGATGTTGTTGCTGTACGATACCGGCTCCGGCACCAGCTACGATCTGCGCCACTTGAGTTTGGGTGTGGCGCCAAATTTGGCACGCTGGGATTATCATGCAACGCATGTGAATCAGCTGCTGCTGCTGGCGACCATCGACAGTGATCCATTAATCGCCCAGACTGCCGAGCGCTGGAAGGGCTATATGTTTGGTAAGCGGGCCAAGCACAACTGAGAGCGAAGGAAACTGGCGGCAGTTGTTGCTGCCGCCTCGTGGCAGCCACATCGCCACCATCCCGAAAAGCCCCAAAAGTGATATTTTTTGAAAAAAGAAACCATTTGAAATGGTTCAGCCGCATCCCAATTTCCAATAATCTTTTAAACGCAACGAATTTGGTTAACCTAATGTTCATATTGTTATTTTTGGCATGCTTTCATATACGTCCGAAATATGTATTTAATTTTCTTGTCTTTTAGTTTAGTTCGTTTAGTGCGTAAGGAATTGTACCTATCTACTACGTATATACCTTGTATTGCATAAACATAATCATTAGCTGCTATTTGCCATATGCATACCTGTATATGCATAACTATTTGTTGATCTATGTAGCTTAATTGTTTCCTAAGTAGTTGCACGCGTAATTTCACTGGACAATATCAGAAACTAAACCTAAACTATAAAAAAAAATCAAACACAAAGTGATCTAACCTATACCCTAACCAATTTAGCTGTACTGAAAGGGTATACAAAAAGAAATATTATCACTTACTGTTGTATGTTAGTCGACTTTTTGTACTGCTCTAAGTAGAGATTGTTACACACAAGCCCCTTACCCAACTTGTATAAAGTAAAATTGTAGAGAGCTTAGCATTATATATATAGGACACACTCGAATTATAGATAGTATCTATTAGATGCGTACATAAACGAGGATAGTCTTACAAAATTTGCAATCTTAACTCGAAGATAAATTAAAATTTCCAATTTCTTGAAAATATAAATTAGAAAAATGCAAATGAATTTAATTTGTTTACTCGATCATTTTGAAGACTATCCTCGCATATACTTAAATAGATATATGTATATCTGAGAACATATTTGTACTTCATTTCTTCAGGCATATTTTAGTGTTCCAAACTAAATCTATTAACTGCCTAATAAATACTACGTTTAAAAGTATTGCGATATTCTGCTGTAAATAACATATATCATGTTTATATTTAATTGAATTCATTTTACAAAATTCGAACGCATTTATTTTAATTTTAACAAAAACACATTTTATGTGACGCACAAAACTCGCAAGACCATTTTTACATTATTTAATATACATATGTATATCATTTAAAATATCGCAATGGAAAGCTAAACGTAGTTTAAGTAATATATATAACAAATAAAAAATAGCAAATGAGTAATTATATTTAATAAGCATGTAACTGTAATGTTGTAGGCCACTTATGAAAGTTTCTCAAACTTAAACGATGCCATTCCAATATAATTCTAATTTTATATTTAATTTTCAACATAAAATACATACCGTCAATTATTATAAAACAAAATATAAAAACACTTTTGTATCCGTTGTGTATTAAAGCAAAAAGAAAAAAAAAGAACGAGACTGTTAAGTGAAAAGATTTTAATTTTGCAATTAAGTACTTAAAACACGTGTAAACTTTGTGTTTTCTCAATTTTATTTACAATTTGTTATAACAAAAGAAATATAAAACGCCTCTGTCAACATTTATATTATGTATATCTTCTATTTCACTAAACAGACATTACGATATTTTTTATATTTGAACATGAACATGAATGGGAAATCTGACTATGATTGGATTGGGGTAGAGCTGGGCTGGGTTGGATTGGTTTTTGTTATTGTCAGGATCGCCTCGATTTGAGTACATGCGAGCGTATAGAGGGCGGGCCACTGCGACGATTAACTTCCAAGATGAAGGCGTTCTCCATTTGATCGCATATCAAATCAAAGAAAATATTGGCAATATTGCTGTGCAGCAACGATTTGAACTCGAAGGCAACGCGAAAGTCGACAACACATGAATTCGGTATGTCCTTCAGGCCCGGACTGAAACGCCATTCATTGAGGAGGTAGTTAAACAATCGGCCGTCGTGGCATTCCGATTTCACGCGACTGTTCGGCTGCAATGTAACCTGCGACGTGTAGATCTCGTTGAGTGGTGGGAAGCCAACAATCAGATCCGCCTTGAATCCACCTCCTCCGGGATCGACGGTGTGCACCTGCGATTTCTTAACATAGGGCACGAATTTGTAATAGTTACTGACATCGGAGACAACGCTGTACATATCTTCCATGGAGTAGCTGTAAGCAAGTGTATGCATACATATATCAGTCAAATTTATAACTAATGAGATCATCTCGCCGACAACTCACCCGACTAGCTCTTTTTTGGTGTACATGCGTTTCTTGTTGCGAAAATCATTGAACGTTATGTAGTAGCGCTGGATGCCATTTATATAGTGACGCGGTCCGATCTGCTGGCAACTACAACAAGAAAGGCTGCGTTTTGTCAATAACAGTTTTTTAATAATTTAATCATTTATAAACTTTAAACTTTCGATACAATTTTGTAACTTTTTTTTTTACATACTGTGGCAAAGGTTGCCAAGACTTGAGATTATATAATTAACAATTTACCTGCTGACCTTGATTGCATGTAACGCTGTATAATTCGTACATCCAAAGCCTTTAGTGTGCTGCCCTTTAACATCTTTAATGGAAACAATTTGTTTATTTTTGAAATGTGTATAACGAAATTTTGTGGCTGCTTCTGAACAAAGTTGTCCACCCCCAATCGCAGCACGCGCAATGCAAAGCAGCTGTTGGCGCAGCGTTGCCAGATATAAACAATAAAATGATTTAAATATATCTCCTTTATTTTCTACATAATAGAACAATATGAACGCGCTTCTTCCTGTGGTACCGCCAAGCCCATCAGCTCCTTTTGCTTCAACTCCAAATATGTATTTTCATTGCGTTTCTCTAGCCATTCGGGCAACGGCTTGGCCCAATCCTCTGGTGGCTCTTTACGCTTCATCCACGTATCGTTCGCATAGTGTGCACGCAATCTTGTCAATCTGCGCTGCTCCTCGCTTTTGACTATAGCGCTGCCCGCCTCCACATCATTGCCATTGGAGCGCTCATAGCGTTCGCAATTCTGAAAATCGGTCAGCCATTGCGAGCAATCCGTGTCTTTGCCATAGATGAAATATTGATGGAAGCGTGCCTTGAAGCTGCTGCAATCGTCATACTCATCTTTATACAGGTGACACGGCCGAATCTGTAATTTGCAATTTTAAAATCTGGTGCAAATTTAAGCCTGCATTACTCACGGCCCATGTATCAGTTACTTTTGGAACATCTTTGGGTGTTTTTGTTTCATCATTTTCACTATTAGCTGACATTATATAAAAATTTGTAGCGCACTGCTACATGACAAAATAGAGTAACAGCTGTTTTTTGTTTACCGCTCAACAGGGCTGCCACCTCGTTACAAAAAGTGCACCCACGATTGTAAATAAATATTTTGCTTATTTGCTTGGTTTTGTATATTGGTTTTCCTTTTTTTATTGCAAATAATTGCACAATTAATGATATAATGTACATCAAAAAACATTAGGTAAATTGAAATGTTAAAACAACATTGCATCTTACAATATTGTTTTTGGCAAAAATTTACACGTCTATGATGTTTTCAATTTTCGTTTTTCAGCGTTATTTAAAAACCTTTTCATGTATACAGAAAATATATATATATGTATATATAAATATGCAGAAATATATTCAATGTAATTGTGTAATATGCTTTACGTGTGGTTGTAATTGTGTATATGTGTGTGTGTGTATATATGCTTAAAAGGATCGTAATTAAAGCCTTTCGATTTGAATTTCAAGCGTTTTCTTCTTTTCTTTTTAGCATATTACAACAGAACTTAAAAAATTAAAATAACGTGTTTTTCTTTTCTTTTTGTTTTGTGATTACAATTTGTCTTAATTTTACAAGAAATTACAAAACTAAACCCGATGGCATGTTTAAACTAAATGGTAGTCAAAAATATACAATATGCTGTGTTTTACAAGATTAATTGGCAAAAAACATTTCATAAATTGTTTTACAAAAAGAACTACGTACACTAAAAATTTCTAGAACCAGTTTTCTTTTACCATTTTGTACACATCTAAACTGGGTTAGAAAGTTTAACGGAGGCGTAGGGCCAACTACAAAAGATCAAAGCACAAGAATATATATATACACATGATTATATATATACGGTTTGTGCTTACGTAATTGTATGTTTTTGTTTTATGTAAGTGTATATGAAGTGTGTTGTTTTATAACTAATTCTAAACTTTAGTTTGACTTTTAAGACTTAATAGCTAGAAAAAAAAACAGGCAACTCCTGTTTTTGGGATTTTTTTTTTTTATATTGTTGGTTGTTTATTTGTTGTTGTTGTATGTAGCTGCTTTACATTAACCATCGAGCGTCCAGCACATTATCCAATTGGAGCAGTTGCAGCAATTGCTGTTGATGCTGGTAATGCTACAAACGACTCGACAGTTAGTATTTGTTATGCTGTGCCAACAGTTGCATATCCGTCAGATACTTGATGATGTGCACCTTGGCCTCGGCCTTTTGCCGCACGCCCAGCGTGTTGAGCATATCGGTGACGACCATGCCAAACGACTGATCCTCGGCACTGACCGCTTGCGAGACATTGTTCTGGAATATCTTAATGCTGTTCAGCATATTGTCACTGTGCTCTTCCTCGCCCCGTTCACGCTTCAGCGGCGGCTCATAGAAATATGGCTTCTGATCCTTGCCCACAGCGGTGGCGAGCTGGGCATCTCCAGTGACAGTGATTTCTATGGGGAAATCTTTATTAAAATCAGATATGTTTTATGTGAAATCGTGTACTCACCGTGCGGATGCGTCAGTGCCTGTGCGGATGTGGTGGCGCTGCCATTGAACGGCTGTGCAAAGATGTCGACGACCGTCTGCTGCTGGGCCTGTTGCTGTTGCGTGGGATCGGCCACTTGATTGGCATTCTGGCTGCCGTTAGCACACTTGCCCAGCAGCGATTCACGATACTGGCGAATGGAGTCCACAAGGAATTGCATTTGCTTGAAGTAGCGCCAGCGCGATTCTTGGCATAGTTTCATTTCGCGCGCGAATTTGTCGCGTAAGCTCTTCCAACGCTTTGTACATTTTTGTTCTGAAATAGAATACATTCATTATAATTCCGCATAAAGAAAACGAATTAACATTTTTTCCTCTGGCTTCGTATTCTATTTCATAAATATTAGCGCTAATATGAGTTTGTTTACTTTGCGTTTTTTGTCAAGTTTTTCTTAAGGGGGATGGCAACGCCGGCATTGCTGCCAGACGTCAGCCATATGTGTGCGTCAAATTGCAAACCAAAACAAACCGCGAGACGTCAACGCCGTTGCCTCAGCCGCCCCCGCTGACACTTGAACAAACGACGTTAGCTATTGGCAGAAGCCGCAGCAGCAGTAGCAATAGCAGCAACAGCAGTAGCAGCTACAGCAATCGCAGCTGAGGCAGCAACAGCAGTAGCAGCAGCAGCAGTCGCAGCAGGCGCAGTAGTCGCAGCAGCTGTAGCTGCTGCTGCTGAGCTGAAGCTGAATCCGTGGCACGCCAGCAGCGACAGCAGCTTCCGAGCGGCCTGGCGGCAGGCGCGCGCCCGCTGCTGCTGTCGACGTCGACTACAACTACGAGTTGATTCTGCCAGCTTGGTATTGGTAACGCGATTCTGCCAGCTTGGTATAGCTGCGCGGACCAGGCAGCAAATCTGACGACAGAGTCGTCTTCATATTTTCTTCTCAAATGGTTTGGCGCCAAACTCTTATTTCATTTAATATAAAAAACGACTTGCATAATTCATTTATGGAAAAGCCCCAAAATCGGATTTGGAACACACAATTTTTAACAGACAGGGGGAACAGACGAAACTGTATTTTTTTTCTTTAGTATACAGTCATGAAATGAAATGAAAGCTGTTCGGTTGGTCGACGATTGTCTTTATTTGTATGCGTGTTGTTTATGGCTGAATGTGTGTGTACGTGTGTGCGAGTGAACAGCCAACATCAATGTTGGCAGCAGCTGCAGCGGCGACGGCAGCAGTAGCTGTTGTATAAAAATAAACGCTGGCGTAGGCAGCGTGTGTGTGACAAAGACAACTACTGCGACGCAAAAGTACAGCAACTTCAAAAATGTTGACTGCGCGCACATATTGTCGACAGCGCAGTCAGGAGCGTAGCTGTAGCGCCCAAAAGCGGGCGCATATAACCGGTTAGATAACAGGATATTTTCATGTAACAAAGAAATGTTTGCATTTATATACATTCAATGCACAATACGCATGAAGCTATATAATTTTCAATATGTTTTAGCAGCGCCCAAACCGTTCCGAGCTCAATGCGCTCCTGTCATTTCACAACCGTCTGTCGCGTCTCCGTCGCGTCGCCGTTCACTTTTGCGTCGATTCTGTACACTTGCTTTTGCTGCCCGCCTGCTGCCGACGCCCGCTGTCGCTGTCGACGATGTCGTCGTATGTCGCCTCTGTTGCCAGCCCATTCTGCACCCGTTCCACCCTCTCCCTCTTCTCTCGTGTACGAACACAGAATTTAATCAATTTGCTGCGACGACGACGGCGCCAGCTGCCTTAGTTGCCTCAGCGGCTAATACTCAATTTCACTTGCCACACAGCTTATGGGCTGGTTGCACCCTTCGGACACCCGTTTCACAACACTAAAATTTCACTTACCGCTAACTCCAAGTGTTTCAGCGATTTGCTTCCAAGTCTGCGCCTTACGCACAAAATGCTTATAATTGTAATGTGAGCGATCGTATATAACGGGATTCATTTTAACTGCCTCAATTAGATTGAGATCAAACTGCTGCTCCAGGTTGGCATCCAGTTTGTCCATTTCGATGGCTGCACTCAGTGTGTGCACTGCGAGAAAACACACAAATATATTAAATATACTACTTATACATGTGCATATTCGTATCGATGTGTGTGTGCGCGCGTCTACATATACATTTCTATATGTATTTGTGTGTATGCATGTAAATTGGCCACTTTATCAATATTGCCATTTATATGAAACGAACTAACTAAAACTCACTTTGTTTCTTTCGTTTGCTAATTGTTGTTAAATAATTGGCGCGCACGCACCCTTTATAGTTTATTTGTTTTTATTTTGATTTGGTCTTCTTCGAGGAGGAATCGTCGCGACGTCGACGTTCAATTTTATTTCTCAGTCGCTGCCAACAGTGAAATTTTTGTTCCAAGAATGAAGCAGGCAGCGCAGTCTACTTTTCTAGTATGTATATTTTAACACAGCCAGCCGCTGCGACGACTCGACGTCAAATAAAGGAGACGTCGACAGCGTCGCGACGTTGTAGTCAGCGTTGGCTGAATATCACTCTCTCGCTTCCGCATATGTGCAATGCTTGCTTCCTCTTTTGCGCATGTTCAAGTGCCGCTCAGTGTTGGGAAATGTACGTTTAAGATGTTTTTGTGTGTTGGTTACCGGCTAAAATTATGCCGATGTTTCGATAGGCATAATCGATAGTTCAAGCATATTTGGAGTTAATTTCCAATATTTAGTTAAAAGTTAAGCTATTTGTTTTTTTATATATGCTATAAGCAGTGAAACGAGATTGTTTAAAATTATTTAATTTTTATGTATTTCGGTTTCGCTTTCGGTGTTTATACAATTTGTCTGTACCTTAACAAACGTATTGCATTTGTTGCTATTTTTTTGTTGTTTAATGAAATGAAAAAATATATATATTCATATATTCTTGTCTAATATATTGTAATGTATGCTACTACTGCTTTTGAAGAACTGGAAACAAATCTGTATGACAATATAGTTGTGTGTACTTAAAATAATGTGTGTATCTTCATTTAAGTTTAAACAATTTTGAGTTTATAGAGAGAATGTGGGATTTGGATAACAATGAATAATAGTAGATTGTGTTTGACAATATTTTTTCATTAGTATAAATTAAAATTGCGCTTAACTAATTTTTGTGTAATGTTTTATGTATGTATATTCAAAAAGGAATGACTTAAGAGTTAGTTAAAAATCCTCCTTAGCAGTTAAATTGTTTAAATCTTTGTAACACGAAACCGGGGAGAAGCAGCAAATCAAAAAATTATATTTTCTCAAATTATAAAGCAAAAAACGTACGTAAAAACAAAATTACAGGCGCAAATTGGCAAATTTTGTTTTTGTTTTTTTTTTTTCAAATGTAACATATCATCATCATTATCATCATTGTAAAACGTGTTTGGGGTTTCTTTTGTTCTAATTGTACATTATTTTTGCAATCATATTTTGACAAATTTTTTAACTTAACGCTGAGCAGTTTTACAATTGTGTCTCAGGATAGAAATTCAATTGCCAAACATGAATTTAATTGGAACTCTCTATTTTTTATCTTCTTGTTTCATTTTCATTTACTTTTTTGAGTGCCACATTTTGGGTTCGGTTGCTATAGTTGTCTGTACTGTTGTGTGTTTATTATTGTTTTTGTTTTAGTATTCGCTTATAATATATCATCATTTTTGTGTTTTTTCTTTTGATTATTACATTGTTTTTCTTTTCTTTAGAATAATTAGCTTAAAATGTAACGAAACAAATGTTGATTTTTGCTAATGGGGCCCTTCTTATTTACTCTTTTTTTTTTGTTTTGTTATTTTTTGTTTTATCAAAATATGATGTGATTTCTTATTTGTTGTTGCTGTACTTAGTATGTGGGTGTGTATGTGTATGTGTGTGTTTGTTTGTATTGGTGTATATATTTAAATGTATAACGTACAAAGACGATACAGTTTGTAGATCATGCTGCTTTTAACCATCATGCTTTCTCTTCTTGCCCCTAGCATGCGTTTCATCTGAAAAAGTCCAACATGAAAAACATTAACTATCTTTTAAATATTCATATATTTATCTTCCACTCACCTGGCTTCTCAGCATCCTTCTCATCCTTGGCATTGACCGATGCAGCCGATTCATTTGGATCACCATCGGTTTCATCAATATCTGAATCTTCATCCTCATCCTCATCGCCGCCCTCGCCTTCTTCCCAATCGGAATTATCTTCTTCTAGATCATCATTATAGACCTGCCAAATGGACAATAAGTTAATTGACTGATTGTTATATGGATATAAATTATTGACTTACCTCCGACAGGGATACGTCGCCATTGTCCTCGTCTTCACTCTCATCGCTGTCTTCCGCATCATCATCTCCACCAGAAACTGCAAGCAATGCAAGCAAATTGATAAGGTTTTAATAAAATTTCTTTACGCACAAATGCTTACAATAGGCGGCATTCGCCAGATTTAATATTGCTAAAAACCAATATATTAAAATTGCAAAATTCGTGTTCGATTGGTTGCTATTCGGCTGTACTGTGAGATGGTTAGCTTCTATCACAGATTGGCTCTCGAGCTTTGCTTTCTCTTTGATTTGGAGTTCTTTTAAATATTCATCTAATTCGTCTACTTCATCATTGTCAGCATCGGAAGGCTTTTGGTTTTGATTTTGCATTTCCTGCAAACGTTTCTTGGCTTTAACACGCTGCTCCAAAGCATCGAGCTCGTCTAAATCGATTTCTAAACCGTTTACACAGAAGGCACTGCGCTCATCTGAAAGTCGACAGAATCTGTGTATTGTAATGTGTACGATATGGACTGGATAACTGAACAGATCTTAGCTCAAACAGGAAATGTGACAATAAAAAATGAGAATGGCTATGATCCGAAGTACGAAACTAACAATGAGAGAGAACGATCGTATAATACAGCATTTAGGGTCATTTTTAGCAGTTCCTTGGAGAAATGCTGTCTTTTGTGGTACACACCTTCATCCTCGGAGTCATTGCCATTGACTTCATCGTCATCATCCCCTTCCGATTGTACCTCCTCATCATTACAATCAAATCTACAAAAGAAAAAGAAACATAAAGACATTAGTTTATATAAAAATATATATATGTAGTAATCCTTACCCATCTAAAAAGTTTAACGAGGGCAACATCTTGAAGATCTTCTCACGATAGTTTTCCACTTGTGTAGCATCATTATTGAATAAATCCAACACATTTAAGTGTTTGAACTCCTCCAAAGGTTTCAGAGTTTCCAAATCCTTGATTTTGTTGCCAGATAAATTCAAATATTGTAATTTTGGGCTGGTCGTTAAATAGTGGAGGCCACTCGAAATTCGATTATCAGATAATTCCAATTTCTTTAAATTGGGTAACTTGGGGAAACCTTTCAGTGTGGTCAAACCCACATTTATCAAACTTAATGTTTCCAAGGCGGTATATTCATCTGTAAGGCCAACAATGCTTGTACTCCTGCAGTTATCCAGATTCAGTTCTGAGATCTGTGCGTTTATAGAAAAGGAAAAATAATTGATTATTCAAATTCGTTTTATAAATAGTCATCTTCTATGAATATAACTTCTTTTTTGGTATTTCGTACTGTCAGCGATTCCTTTGCTGCATACGGAAATGGGCATATTTAACGTTAGACGATTCGGTCACACTGCCTGTGTATTCAGCGTATTGCGAGTCTCTGACAGTCCGCCATGTCTGTGTGAACGTGTGCCAGAACGAGCGCAAAAGAAAAAACTCAAAATGAAAAACAATACATACGCAAAAAATCGATCAAACGCAAAACCTTTTTTTTGATTGCAATGAACACTCGCACACAAAATGGCGCATTGACAATATGGAATATAATTATGGTAAAAATGAATAACAATTTACTGTGCTGAGACAACAACAATGATTTTCAAACATATTGCGCACCTAGCTCCCTGCTGAAAAAGTGGCAACGCGTTTATGTAACAGCATTTTTTTGCAGCCGTTGTGTATGTGTGTGCGTGTACGTGTGACGTACGCGCCACAAAACGGAATGCGCGAAAATGGGCATTGAAAGAACAGCGCAAAGAGCAAGTGCTGATAACATGGCAGCGCAATACGCGCGCGTGTTACAAACAAAACTGAAACGAAATGAAATGTTATGAAGCACTTCAAGGGGGTTGCACGGGGTTGGAAGGGATGGGGATGAAAAGGAAAACAGTATACAAGTCCTCCGATTTGCGGAATGGAACAAGCCGGCAGCCGCACTAACCCCAACAACAACAACAAATTGTATGTTGACAAACGACTTTTTTTTTGGGTAGTTGTTGCGCCTAAGCGCAAGAGAATCAGACAAACGGTTTTTACTTGAGACTTTTGATAAGCGTTGGATTTCCGCTTGAAACAGGCGTTTGAAAGCGTTAGCATTTTTTAGTTGCGCTTGATTATTTTCTGATTAGACAAATTAGAATAGTCCGGTATATAAATTTACAGTTTCTTGCGATGGCAACAATGCCTGGCGACATTTTACGTTGTGAGCAGCAGCAGCAACGCAACTCGTCTCATCTGTTCTGCTGGACAGTTACATGCACACAAATACCGATGTAGTTAAATGAGTGCTCACACACACATTCAATCGCACACAGCTTAAGCTTTGGAGCGTGTGCATATTAGCTTAGCTTTGACTATGTGTGGCCGCGTGTGGTTATACTGGTGTATGTGTAGTTGGACCTCTGTGTGTGCATTTTGGCTGGGTGGGGTGGGTTGTGGGTGCCTGATTGAGTAGGCCTTGCCAGAGCGCATGTTTATTAATCAGCAAAAGTGCCACACACCAAAAAAGAAAGAAAGACAGGTTTGTCTGCTCTGCTCCGTTCTTGTTCGCATTTCTTGTGCCGAGAGATACATACATATGTATGTGTGTATGCTTATACATACGAATATGTGTGGAGAGAGGGAAGTGCATGTAAACAGTGCATGTACCGTTTCGTTTGGGGCGGCCGGTTTTTTGCATTGTGAAAAGTCTAGCCTGCGACAGCAGATGTGTGTCTCTGTGTGTGAATGTATGTGTGTGAGTGTATTTATGACTGCGCAGTCAATATGCCTGTTTGAGTGTGTGTGCATGTCTCAGCAGCAGCTATAGTTAAAGCTGGCGACCCATCGGCATTGGCGAGAATGTGTCGATTATTATGTGCATACACGTTTCTTGTTAGCCTGTATGCATTGTATATACACACATATATATGTATGTGTGTGTATATGAATGATGCGCGCGCTATAATGTTGTTATAGATACATTTTGGTATCAAATAACCTGAAATTACAAGCATGGCATACAAACACTCACACATATACGAACGCACGCATACATACATATACATATGTTTTTATTGCAGTGTTTGTCACAATTGAAGGCCGGCAAAGGCAACAACAACAGATTTTAGAAGCATTGCCAGCTGGCGCAACTTCTGCTTTGTGGATATCACGATCAGCGCGCATAAGCGCATGCATGTCATAAATCGAATATTGACTACATATTATTGAATATATATGAACTTTTAGTTACATATCATTAATGTAATAATTGGAATATCTGCTGCATTTCATCAATTTGAGCAGAGCACAGGCGCAAAAATGCGCGCACATGGCAACACTGCTCGCGACACACACATACTACGTAGACATGTAGCTGTGTGTGAATTTGCTTATGGCGATCAATTCTTTTTTTTTCCACCGATGGATGTTATTTGCCGCTTCTTCTTCTTCGCTTAGTGCTTTTTGCGCTCTTTTTTATGGCGTCGACAGCGACACAAATTGAAACTAGATTTACATGATGGCGTAGTTATTGTTGCACACACTCACACACATTGAAAATTTGTGTAATCACAGCAAAAAAATCTATTTAATTTTGCGCGTTTTTTCGGCTTGTATTTGTTTGGCACTTCGTTTCCTTGTTCCGTCCAAATTTAATAAATATCAAGTTTAAAACAAAAAGAAAACTTACCTGATTCGCTTTACGTGCGCGTCTCTCCAATTCTATTCTTTTCTCCATTTTATTTGGTGTGGTTTTTTATTTCTTTTTGAAAACGTCTTCAGCTGCACTTGTTTATGATTTGGTAAAAGCAAATTTTCTCTCGTACTTCCAACCAAGCTCGCAGAAATGCCAAAGGATACACCAATACAATCGCAAATTGCTTCAATGTGAATGTGATGGTGTGTTGGTCCCTTGCGACAGCGCGCACGCACCAGAAGCAGCGGCAGCAAAGTCGTTGCTCGTCGTTGTCACACACAAGCACACACACGCTCGCGCACGCACACACTCGCGTATTCACAAACACCTTGCAAATTTTTCTTTTATGTGCTTCCTTGGTATTTTCGACGCTGCCACCCGACGCGTTGTTGTCTAGAAAATGTACAAGAAAATTAGTTACTGTAGATATTCGCTACAAAAATGCGTTAATAGTCGCTCATGTGTGTACTTTAATCGTGCGTTAGCGCATTTTTACACATACAAACACCTATACGCACACACACTTGTGACGCGCTATTTTCAAACGGCCCTTTGACACGTTTTTCGACAGCTTTTCCGTACTTGGCTTATTTTTTGGATACACAATGTGCCGCTATTCGGACTTACCTTGATACGTTGAATATTTAAATATCGAAATCAATTTTTAATTGTATTTTCCAACCAACAACAACAAGCAACAAAAAAGCAACCAGTATAAAGCGCTAGGGATGTGCGATAAGAATGTTAGAGCTGCGCAACTATCGCGAATACTACTGGTAATATCGGGGGTAGCTCTTATCTGCCATTATCGATAGCAGTTAGCGGCATTTGCATACCAGAATTGCTCCTCATATGGACAGTGACTCCACACTGCGCGGAAATGTATTGGAACTGGTGCAATTTGGTCTATTATGAAAGAGAGTAGCATTTTGTAGTCTGTGCTGGATGTTATTAGAGTTGTTTTGTACAGTAACAGGTGAATCTGGAATACGTTTTATACGTATACATTTAACATAGCGTATGGTTTGTGTCTTTGATATGCGTACAGCTTGGGTAGATGAAGAAATATGAATGGTGTAAGCAAAACGCCGTTTGCTACTAACCGATAGATGACGCTTCTAGTAACTTTGATTTTTTCAAACTTAATTTGTTTATTCAGCTTTTTATTATTTATTTTATTTTTTATGTTTCAAATAATACATGCATTGTTTAAGTAAATAATGATCCACTGTATTGAATTATGTTGCGTTTGCATGAGTCGTAGATGTTTACATTACTATTGAAATTAAGTATAGTAATGCATAATTGCATTGTTGCGGCTGCACGTGCTTCTGGGTGTGACAAGCAGCTCAAAGCGAAACCAAATGAAATCCAAATCAATAGCATATTAATTATAGCTAAGCCAACGCAACAGGCAAAACAATAGAAGACCTTGAAAACAAAGCGCGAGTAAATTTAGCAAAGAGTGGACCGATATAGCCATAGCTACGCAACCAAAGAAAACAAGGAAACGCCGACTAAGCATCGATTATAATTAGCCAATTAAAAAGTCAATGAACGGCCAGTCGAAAACAGACCGAAAAAAAAACCCGTTGAGTTGAGTAGCTTTTAACATACACACAAACAGGCACGCCACAGACACACACATACACACCCACACAGAGAGGCGCCATTTTGAAACGGAGGCCGCAATTCTGAACTTGAGGCCTTTGAATATTTTGAGTGTCGTTTAACGGTTAAATTTAATGCACATAATTAAGTTGTGATTTCATCCCGTTAAAGGTGTGGCAAATATGAGAGGCAAAGAAAAAAAGAGAATGAGAGAGAGAAAGGGACAGGGATAGCATTTGCCGTTGCGCGTGCATCTCAGCTATATTTTATTGCCTGTGCTCTATTAATTAAGTAACGGCGCGCGTCCTTCCGTTCCGCAAATTCGCCAAACGTGCGCCCATCATGCCTGCCTGAGCGGCTGCACCTGTAGCTCTTACTTCGCCTGCTGTTGTTCAGGTGCGAAGCCTTGTCTGTAACACGTGGCCGTTTGTTTGGCCAAAAATAAACAAAGCTTTTCCAGCTGCTACAACTGCCACACAACACTGTTAAATTGTGTGCTTGTATATGTGTGTGTGTGGGTGGGTGTGATTTCCTTAAGACAGACAAGTGTCGCTTAAGTAAACTTGACATAAACCCGCACACGCACTCACACACTTACACACATGCATACACACATACACACCTGTTTGTGTGTTTGCGTTAAGACCACATTAATGTTGTTATTAGCTTCAATGAAAGCTCAGTAAAATATCCAGCTGCCGAATTAAGCAATTCTTATGTTAATAGCTCTTATACATAGGCAGACATATATATATGTATATACATATGTATGTACATATATATAGAAACATATTTATTTTCACTTATTGATAAACAAAAGAAATTCATCAAACTATTTATTTATTTGTTTTTCATTTAAATTTTCAATTGTTTAATGTTTTTATTAGTTTTTACATACAAAATATTTGTAAAAATTTGTATTACCTTTGTTACTTACTTGAATTTTATTCTATTTTGCAACAGTTAATTTATTATTTAAGAAATACTTAGTGTTAATTAATTTTCGTTAAATTATTTTATTCATCTTTCATTAAAAAAAATATTCAAAACTCGCGCTGCATTTTATTCAATTTCGAATAATAAAAGGCTTCGACTATAATCATTTAGATACCCTTTAGCCTGCCAGTTGAATAAATAATTACTCACAAATTAGTTAAAAAGCTTTTAATTAGTAGTGTTGAAGCTTCAAAACAAATGCAAATAAAGGCTAGTCGAATAACAAATTATTAAAAGCAAATTAACTGCAAGCAAAACAGGAAAATATAAATCGTGCGCTCTTCGTGCGGCTTTCACTCTCTGCTTTCAGTGCGCTCTCTGTGTGTGTGCCTCTCTCTCTCTCTCTCTCTCTCTTGAATTCAACAGTTTGCTTTTGTGCTTAACGCAAAAAGCTTTTGGGCAAAGCTCTATCGCTGAAGATGCAGCAGCCACAAGTTGCCTTTTCGATATTTGCAACAGTTGCTGTTGAGTGTCTTCGAAAAGCGGACGTGGCAAATCAAAGGTAGCGGACGAACGCGCACAACTCGATTGCAAATACTCAAGTTTCAGAACGTTATCAGTGGACAAGTAAACAGAGACAGAGACAGGGAGAGAGAGAGAGAGAGAGATAGACAGACATTGGCAGGGAAAGTGCAGACGACAACTGGCCAACTAGTTCAAGTGCAGGCCAAAAAATTGTGTTGCTGGCAACAATGTTGCCAATAAATTCTTAAAGCCATGTGAAAAGTGAAATCAAAATAAAAGCGAGGAAATTATTAAAAAAAAAAAAAAATGTCTATGCTAAGCCTCTAATCAAACGTAAATCATAAATTTCCCTTTAGCATATTTAATATTATTTACCAAAGTGTTGAAATCATATATAAAAAATTCACAAAGAGAAAATAAGAAAATATATTCAAGTCGTGCGCGTCTACATATTGTAAAATCGGTTAAGCGAATCAAAACAAAACAAAAAAAATGTCCGAAATATGAAAAAAATAAAAACAAAAAGAATTAGAGCTTAAGCCAAAAATTAACATATGTAGCCACGCACAGCTAACCAAAAATATGCAAGCACATGATTTTATATATATTAAATATATATGTATATATATATTTATTTCAAATGCATATGCTTATGTGTGTGTTGGAATGTCACACATGTGACAGTTGTCACTGTAATTTAAATCAGTTACATTGCCCCGCTCGACAAGCAGACAGATATATGTTTATAGTCATGTACAGTAAAGGCTCGCTTGAGGAACAGTTGCGGAGTAGGTTTAGCTGATTTGAGAGCTAAAACTATTTTATTTGTATATGCTTATTTATTATCGATATTTTTTAAAGAAAATGTAAATAATTTATTTAAATACAATTTTATTTTTTTTTTATTTTTTAAATATTATTTTTAATTAGAGTTTTAGCTGATTTATAATTGAAAGGTATTCTAGATTTTAATGTTTATAAATTTTGCCATTTATCAGGCAAAAATACATTAAATTAAAATAGACAAAATTATATTAATTAAATAAGTGCAAATTAAAAAAAAAAAAAAAACATTAAAGTGGAAATTTCTTAAAAATGTTTACAGCAAACTTTCGATATTAAAACTTAAACAAAGGTCCCTTAAATTATAATTATATTTATTTTAAAGCTTTTCATAACTTTTTTCGTTATATTATTCCATTTATTTTAAAGTTTTTATAACTTTTTTCATTGTTTGTTTTCCTTTTTTGTTGTTTTTTAATATTCGCTAAATATTGAGGGAAAAATCCTGTCACAGGCTTGCTAGCCTTTCAGCGTGCTTTTACTGTACCAAAATGTTTATAAACTATGCTGTTATCTTTCCCTTTGCAAAGTCTTTCACGCGCTTTATGCTTTTCATATTTTAATACATCTTTTTTTGTATGTAAGTACATGTCGCTTGCTTGATTTATTTTTCATGCCACCTCAAACAAATTTGCGCAATGTCAGTTAACCAAAAAAAAAAAAAAAAGTGCTCGTATATGTGTAACCAATATTGAAGAGGCAACAAGCAACAAGCGATAAAACAACAACAACAATTACAACCGCTAAACAGGCCGCTGCCTGAAGGCCAAAACCGCTGAAGCAAGCAGAGGACGAAAATTCGAGCTGCTCTCACGCGCAGCTGTTGGAGACGAAAAGGTAGGTGTGTGCACTTTGATTTGCGACTTGTGTACGAAATTCGCTTTACACACACTTATTTGCATTTCAAAGCCGCATTGAAATGTGCCAACCCACCCACACACACACACACACACACACACACAAACACACACATATACTTCGCGGAAATATGTGCAAATTTTCCATATTTGCTTTTTTGCGGTTTTTGCGGTGGATGTGATTATTGAGCGACATTATCATGAAGACATTTTTGATATGGCAACGGTGCACGCGGCGTATGATTGATTGATGCTTGTCTATGCGTGCGTGTGTGAGTGTGTATTACGTGCCACTGATTGGCAAAAAAATTTTGACTCAGCGCAATATAATTGGCAAAAAAAAAAAAAAGATTGTGAAGAAGAAAATAAATTAATATAAATGTCAAAGGCTAATAACTTGAATTTTCTTCGCCGTGGAAATTGCGGAAATTAATATGCTTTTATTTGTATTGAATGACAAAATGGATTTAAACTGAATTCTAATTGGCTTTTGCAATTTAAGCGAGAATTGAAGCTGTGCAAAAATATTTAATATTATTATAGAAATGTGATATAAATTTTATGTACATAATTCTAGGAATGAAAATCTATCTCAAAGAGATGGCTTAGCTGATTTCCTTTAGCAGTTTATATGATATACAAAGTAATAATTTTTATGGAGAAATTTTAGACATGTAATATTATATTTTCTTTTTGATGATGATGTTTCCTCAGCTCCTTGTCAATATTTTTGAGAATTTTATGTTTGCATGGAGAGAGAGAAAGAGAGAGCTAAGCCGAGTGAAGCATGCGTCCAATTGTTGTGCCTCGCATATAATTATAAGAACTGAGTCTATCAACGATTGCGAAAGTTGGCAGAATTTCTGATTAACATATTCTGAGACTCTAATTAAAATACAGCTGCTAAGATAACAGTTTAGTCTAACTTTCTTAGTATACTGTGCACATTCCGAGTCCAACTTCACATCTAAATTTATGAAATACGCACAATTCCTAATTATTTTAGCATAAATTATATGCTCTTCCAAGCGAGTTCTTAGAATTATATTTGGAATTAAGCAGAAGTGCTTAGAGTATGGAATTCTAATGAATTTCTTGATAGATTCACATTAGCTAGTAACTTTACCAAGTATTTCCGCATGTGGAGGCAAAAACAAATTAAAATGATATACTTATAGTGTAATTCCATTACAATTCCCATTTGCAAAGCCAGCCTAATGAAATGAACAATTAACACAATCATTCAGGCGAATTAAAAAATTTCTTGTTGATATTGTAAAAAAACACAAATTGAATGTATTTAATTGGCTAGCTCGTTAAATTAAGTCAATTTATGAGTTGCACACGCACAGAGTGAGGCAGAGAGAGTGAGGGTGAGGGGCAGCTAGATATTTCATATTTTCATTTACGTTTCGTCCTCGCCATTGCGTCAGCTATTTAATTGGTCGTAAATGAATTTCCTCACCTGGCCGGGCCGACAGCTTCTGCCAGCACCTGTCATCAGCATTAATATCAACAGCTGAACCTCAAACTCAGCCGCATGACCTCTTCCTCCTTTCCCCCTCCATTCCCCCACGGTCAGGCCTAAGCTGTTTGCTCTGCAAAAATTTCTATAGCATACTTTTCAGGGCACGCTGTCTCTCTCTCTCTCACTCTCACTCCCTCTGCGTTGCTTTCTAGCTGCGGTTTAAAGCCATAAAAGGCAGCCATAAAAAACTCGACAATAAACGCGCATTGCTTAGCATCAAAATTAACAAACTAGAAACAACAGCTAGTTGCAGTTTTTTCCGCTGTTTTTTTTTTTATTAAAATTTAAATTTTTTATGCATATATTTTGCTTTTATGCACATATTTCGCTTTGCCTGTCTATCTAAGGCACTTGACCGAGTTTTTATTTCATTTTTGCTTCGGTCCAGGGACCAACACGCAGTTGCTGCTCTGATTTTAATACTACGCAAACATAAAAATTTTTGGGTCATGGGTTTATCTAAATTGGAATAAGCGGATATTTTATGGCTCTTAGCCTCAGTCCGGCTTACGCTTAGCTAAAGTTTAATAAATTTTAGATAATCTGTAGGCAATGGTAACTTGATGTTTGCCTGACGCTTGAATAAACATTTGATTTTATTTGTTTATAAATCCTTGCATACATTTTTCATTATTTCAAATTGATGTATAATTAAAAAAATAATATAATTTAATTTCGTCTATAAGTTTCCTATTTTTATAGGGTATTTTAGTGGTCCAACTCGAATTTTTCTGGCTTGCTATAGTTTTATTTTGTTCTTGTTTTAGCCCCGCTGTGATTATTTTTGTTTGCTGGCTTGTAAACGCGCCAGCTTATAAAATGGTTTTTATGCATTGCCTTTAGCACAGTAAAAATACTAAAAATACTCAAATAAAATAAAAAAGGGCTAAAAAGCTTAAAATGAATAATAATAAAAAAAAGAGTAGAACAACGCAAAGGCGGTTCACGTTTGATGCGTTGCACCTGACATTATTCAAACAGTTTGGCATTTCACATTTGCATAAGGCGAAACAAAGAACCTCTCTAGAGCCATGAAAAGGTCAATCCATGAAAATTTAAAATTGTTCTCTTGTATGTGCATATATAAGTCGCATCAAATGATTCGTTAAAATAACTCTAAATAAATAGATAACTCTTAACTCTAACTATCGAATCTAATGAGAAAAATATGTAAATTGTTTGAATTTTATGATTATTTGTTGTGTAGCAAATTATTTCTAAGAAAATTATTTGACGAGCGATCAAACAAAAAACAAAGTCTTATATGTAGAATATAGCTAAGGTATTATAGAAATTTTCTTATGGAATTCTATGAAACAAAAAATTATTTTAGGCAAATAAAAAAAAAAAAAAAATAAATAAATAAATAAATTAAAAAAAAAAAATAAAAAAAAATAATAATAAAATAAAATAAATTATTCACAACAATTTTCCTACACATCATAATATAGAGTTTTCTATTGATTGCTGATTGATTTTGCAAAATTTGTAAAAAAAATACAATAAAAAATGCAAAAAAAAATAATAATTAAAACATATTCTTCGCCATAAAAATAAATAGCTAAATTATATTACTGCTAAAATTTATTATACACACAGAAATCGTACACTTTGTGTGATTCGGACAGAACAAAAACTTTTCGCCTTTTTCCCATTCGAGTCTCTGCACAAATTGAAGTCAAATCTCAAAAGCCTATTGCTAGTTTAGCTTTTGCTGGATTTCACCAATTCCCGCAGATACTTAAATTGGAAGATTCTTGTTGCTCACTCGCAGCGCTGTTGCTGGACCTCATCATCTGGCGGTAATAGATGCGTAGATCGAGTGTCTTCAGCTTGCGCAGCATTTCGGGCATATACGGCTGCATGGGCAGTGGGGGATGTTGCTTTAATATATCCCATATTTCGCTATCATTTCGCGATTCTTCTTCTTCTACGTTTTCTAACTGAACCTCGCGCTCTATCGGTGGCTTTTTGCTGCGCTTCGATTGATCGATGCCGCTCGAAATGCTTTGGATCGAGAAACTCGATTGGCTTTGCAGCTGTAGCAGTTCAAGACTCTTCGATATTGATAGGAAATCATATGCGGTTTGTGTGGGATTGAAATGTGCATGATGCATTGAAGGTTTCTTCATAGATTTCCTTTGTTTGTCTTTCTCTCTAGTTTGAGTTCTTCTAATCAGATTTTGCAGCGATATTTTGGGCATTGGCGCTACGAATGGCATTGCCAATGCCTGTGGCGATTGAGCACTTGCCATTGGCCAATGGCCGTCGGTGCTTGTTCTTGATTGCTTATCACTTTGCAGAGTATCATCGATTGTCTTCTGTGGTCCGTAGGGATTTTTATAGGCAACAACTTTGTTCAACGACAAAAATGTGCGAAGTTCCTGCGTTTCATTCGCTGGCATTTCGTAAGTTTCTGCAGTAATCTGTTTATGATTCGCCTCTATTTTGTCTATCGCATCTAAATTCATCTGTTTGCTTTCCATATTCGCATGCCCATTTCGTCTTCTTTGTTCAATTAGAAAATCTTGCAGCTCCTGCGGTAGAGCTGCTTCCACTTGTTCAGGCGCTGCATTGGCTGCCAATGATTGGGCATCTAAATCTCTGGACTCTAGAGTAGAATGACTAAATAGCGTTGCTAGAGACACTGAACTGTTGTTGTTGCCACCCGCAATACGGCTACGTTTGACTTCCTGTTCAACCGAGTTTTTTTTTTGCTGCCCTCGGCAATGTTTGGCAGAAGAAGAAGAAGAAGAATAATCACTAGCGCGCTCTCTAAGCGTTTGCATGTTTTTTACACTTGCAAAATATTTGCTGCTACTTGAATCTCTCAAATATGATTTAGTTTTTAATTTAGTTAATTTATCTAGAGATTGTTTCTGCAATTTCAGTTTGTTCTTTTCGATTTTCCTTAAGTACAATAGATTTTCGACGCGATATTGCAATTGCCGCAAATCTCTTTCATCAATTAGACTCTCTGGCGACTTTTGCTCAATGTCAATCAACTTTTTGAGACTTTTAACGTGTGTCATAACCTCGCGCAGCTGTTGATTTCTCATCTCGCCTTCAATGCTTTTCAGCATAATCAAAAAGTTTTCGTAGCGTATTCGATTATGCAATTGTCTATCACTCAGTGGATGATTCTCTTTGCTTGACCTCTGGAATTTTCGCGCACTCACTTTACTTTCGATTTCATTCCCTTTCTGTATCAGTTTCTCGATTTCCAATATGTTTTGTCTTTGATGGGTATGAAGCGATTTCTTAGAGCTTCTCTTGCACTTTCGATTAAACGACATGTCGTCTGAATTATGTAGTTGGCTTGTAGCCTGCGAGGTCTGCTCCATATGTTTTCCCTCCTCCTTGTTCTTCTTCATTGATTTTCGGCTGAAGCTATCGCTAGGTAAAATTATTCTGAACTTGGCATCTTCATCATGAACTAGTGTCGATTGTTT